TATGCATAAAATAATGCTCTTGGGAAAATGTTTAAACAATAATTAGTGTCCTACATTGTAATATACACAGGAGAATGCCCTAGTGAGGATTTTTAAACAATATATTTTGTTTCGTCGGCTGGTGATTTAGATAATTGCAGTTATATTATCACAAATTCCTTTAATATTCATCCCCTGGAGGACACAGCAGATAGCGCAATGTGGATTTGCTCTACAATTAATAAATCTTTATTGTTCATTCATTTATTCCTGGTTGCAAGCCCGAAACATTCAAATTATGGAATTTAGCGCCAGAAGTTCATAAGCTGGTTACTGAAAGTACATATTTAAGAGAGATTTTTATAACTCTCTGATCCACCAGTTTAATTAAAGCTCTATTTAGTTACTGCCAATGTTCCAAATTTAATTAAAACTAATAGACAATTAACAAGAATTTTTTTTACAAAATCTTGAGTTTAATAATAAGGATAATCTTGCCATTTTTTGAGTAAATTGTACTGTATACTAGGAAATAAAATTACTATTTCCGCTAATACAGATGCAAGAAATGTCAGCGTTTTTACTAACATGCTTAAATTTAATGATTTTGGTTATCATACACCTTTGATGTTAACTTTAAGACCTGTAGTAACAACCAGATTAGTGAAAGTCCTAATCTCAACCACTCTAGGTTTCTGGTTTACGTCGTCATAAAGATATTTTCAATATTTCCAAACCAAAATATCAAAACTAATATAAAACAGAATTAGAAATATGGCACCTTGTCATGAATGTATCAGATTAGTGTTATAAAACACTCTATTACCCTTACATTTTTAGACTTAGCTTAACATTTCAATTTTTCCTTTAAATTTGGTTACTTACCTGTATATTGGAACTGCTAATACACTGTTACTTACCTGTATATTGGAACTGCTAACATATGGTTACTTACCTGTATATTGGAACTGCTAATACACTGTTACTTACCTGTATATTGGAACTGCTAACATATGGTTACTTACCTGTATATTGGAACTGCTAACACACTGTTACTTACCTGTATATTGGAACTGCTAACATATGGTTACTTACCTGTATATTGGAACTGCTAACACACTGTTATTTACCTGTATATTATTACTGCTAGTACACTGTTACGAAGAAATACGGTAAACCAATAATTCTCCTTCTGTCTATAGAGTCCATTAACACACTTACCAAGTAGGCAAGTTACTGGGGAAAATTATTTCTAAACAGTTAGTTACTATTGTATATAATCCAGTAAATGATATTCAGATGATTTTAGACAAGAAAGCAACGACATTAGGTTAATTATTTACAATTGCAAGGTAAGTTTTAGAGGTTTTAGATTAATCAGTTCATGGTTGCCGTCTTACCTGATGCACGAAAAGCTTTCGCTACAATGTATTTGTTACAAACTTGGTCATCTTCGTGTAATTCCGATTGTCATATTTGCTGGTTACCGAATTTTCTATCTAATACAGCTTCTCGCTTCAACATTAAT